AACTTTCTGTCTCTTCTATTTTTAGGTTAGAGGATGCTATGTGAAAGTCGAGTGCCAGGGAATAATGTTTCGTCCTTGCCAGAACTATTACCTCTATTCAGTAGAAAAATATGTTTTCTTTTAATCAGCAGCACATTGTGATAATTGCTTTTGGGTCGGACTTATCTCTCTTTTCCAACAGTGGATAAGATTGACTGGGTGTTGTGCAAGTTCTATTTTGGTGGCTTTCATCAAGTCATGAATGAATGAGACAATGTGGTTTATCTCATTAAGTTCAACTCCTACTTGTAAATTGGATTCAAAAATCAAAGCCAATACATAGCTAAGGTGGGATACATGATCAAGAATTACAGGGAAAAACACCAGCATGGGCATCATAGTTTAGACAGAAATGGAAAGACTCGGTACTACGCACAATGGAAGAATGGTTGGTAAACATTACACAACTTGCAGAAACAACCAAGTTGATTTCTTTGATTAGAGAAAAGACAATGTCTGTGTTTATTGATGACTGGAAACCTTGTTATAAACTTTTTGTGTGAAACAGAAAAAATGAATTTATGATTTATAAAATTGATTGACAGGATTATATAAAAATGGAGTTATGCTGCAACCTAGAGCAAGAGGTAATTTTATAACTGTACTTATAATTGCTGTAAAGAGAATCAGAAGCTATCTGTTTGTACTTTCTTTCTTTCTTTGCTTTTGCACTTTTAGCTCTTTCTCTGATCTTTTTCTTTGCCCCTTTCCCTCACTCTATATTAATTTTTATTAGTTTTTTATCTTCTTTCTTAAAAGTTTTAATAAAATATATATGTTTAAAAAGTAATAAAATATATGTGCATTAAATAAAATTCCTGCAGAGCAAACAATTTGAAGCACTACAGAGTTTTTATATTGTTTTGAATTATATTCCTTAAGAAATGGAAATAAAGACCCTTAATGGCTTCCTAAAATAGCATCAATTACCTATACCTTCAGAACAGCAGCTGTTTTTTAAATTTCATTTAATTTCAGGTTGGATAACACCTTGATATAAATTACTTCAGACAGATTATTTTAAGACCTAGCTTCTAAAACTGGAAAAGACGGAAGGAAAGAGGACGACCAACAGCAAGAGACTGAGTCTGTTATAGAGGCGATGGGAACATCATTGAAAAAGCTGAAGGACTAGGTTAGGGATGGTCATCATGGAGAAAATCTATCTATGTCATCACTAAGCGATTACTACCACTTGATTGCATGTAATCAATCAAATGGTGTACAGTAATAGTTAAGGAAGCAGGAGGCCCCTCTCAAGCAATTCATTGGGTGACCTCTGGAATTTCAGCCCTGCCTGCCTTAAAGAGTTGCTGTGATGAAACAAAGGAGGAAAGAGGACTGCGTAGACCTGAATGAAAGACAGGATATGAATCTGATAAAATAAATTGTTGCGTTTTGATATAAAAGTCAGTATATTATAATGGGGAAATCCATTATTTTAAAGAGAGATTAAGAATTAATAACATCCTCAGACTAGAAATTTAGGAAAACTTATCTCTCTGGAATTTCAAACATTAATGCAAGTTGAGAGAAGAACATTTAAGAAATGTATCAGAATAAGTTAGAGTAGATCAACATTCCACCCATACCCTTTAGCATGTTTCTCAGATTAAGCCTAAAATATATGCTGTGATATATGTGATGGTGTACTTGTTGCTTTGAAATGAGATTGAATGCCTATTTTATTTTCTTCCTGTTTTATCTTCCTTGAAACTTTTTTCTGAAGACATGACTCCAATGCCCCAAAGACAATTAAGTAGTGCGTCATAGTCCTTGAGTTCTATATACATCATACTTCACGTTACACAAAATGTCTAGAAAGAAACCCTTTTAGACCAAACAGGAATAAGGCCAGCCATGTGTTACCAATTTTCTCATGAAAAATGTGCCTTGAAAAATTACAAGGATGAAATATTGCTAGCTATTTTTCTGAAAGGCATCAGAATACTTGCCTCACTCTGCTATTCAGAGAATTCCAACATTGGTAAAATTGCTAGAACAATTTCTTTTCATCTCTGCCAAGCATGGGGATATTATTCAAAATGATGACATTTAAGTTAATCTAATAGCCCTCTTCAAGCATTCTGGAAACCAGAGCAATCTGGTTCAGCAACACAAAAGTCAAACATACCGATTGTATCGTTTTGCATCAGTTTTCACATGTCTTTTCCACAGTCTATACTGATGAATCTTCACAGGTAGAGAAGACCTCAGCTGAATGCTGGGGAATAAGCCAACATATATAATATGGGAAGGCAAAATCAGTATATACACAAGAAATGAAATATTAGCAATAGCCATCTGAAACTGAGTGAGAATAAATAATCACAATGCCACAGCAGCACCTTTTGTTGATGTCTCCAGAGGTTTTTTTTAAACAAAATGACTATTGAACTGATAAGAGTTCTAAGAGGTTACATTCAATTTCAGTTTCTTAAGGAAAGCATATGTGGTGGAGTTCAAATGATCAAGGAACTAGCCCAATTCTCCTATAAAATTATAACAAAATTTGTGGCTTTATAGTTTCAACAAAATACAAGGAGAAAAAAATCAGTGAAGCCGGGGGTGGGGGGAGAAAGAATGCAATAAAGCTAACTGGCAATACATTTGGGACAGTAATAGAGGATAAAGTTAAATTATAGAATGCTTATGTTTTCAATCTGAGCATGAGCCCTTCTACTTACTAAATATTAGTAAGTAGAATATTCAACTTTAAAATATTTCTACAGCTAAACACATTATTTCTGCACAGGTTTATCCCAGTTAGTGCTAGTAGAAATATAATTGCTGAATTCTTTCCAATTCAAAATAATACAAGCTGATAAAATATAAGGTGAAATATAGGAGCATGGGGGCAGTTTTAGCCTCTTTCCCACTTTTTAAAATATATCTATGTAATGTAGTGGAGCCTTTCTATTCATCTGATTGTCACTAGCAAACTATGGGATGCTTTTTTTAGATAACTACAGAAATGCCTCCCTTCTGGGTGTCTTTGAAGTCTGATTGTTCAGTCAATTTACCATTGACAACAGCTACTTCAAGAAACTGAAAATTAAGAGAAAAAGAAATTATTCTGACAAACTTTACAAGGTTTCACAATGGCTATATGGAATGTGAAAATGCTTTGCATTATTTTTATTTATTTTGTATAGTGATAGGTAGGACCTGCATTAATGCAGCCTTCCTAAGACTGGTATCATTCCATTCATCTGGAGGAAACCCATCTGAGGAAGATAGTTACACTAATAATGGCAAGCAAAGCATTTTTCACCGGTATCAGGGAAACACCACCAGAAATGAATGAATAAATACACACCCACAACACACCCACACAACAAAGTATTATTTGGTACAATACAATGAAGAAACATAATATTTTTATTTATGTCATCATCAAAACATGAGGCGTGGCTAATATGAACCAATATGAGAACTGCAACAAGGATCCTTATAGATAAGAGCATGGGGGCAGTTAAAATCCTGGGAGTTTCCATAACAGAGTAGCAAAGTGAGCCTTTCTGTATCATACTGTGATATTTAGACCAAAGCCATAGCAGAAACGTGTCATAAATGTTGCTGCTACAATACATACATTAATTGCAATGTAGATATTGATAATGTTTCAAGAAAACTGTGGGCCTTCATGTGCCAAGGAAGTTTTCATTCTGATGCCATAATTTCTGCTAATTATATTACCCAGGCTCTATTGCTTCATTGCCAAAACAGTACCATCCATGAACAAGATGGAGATTTTGGCAGGTTTGAAGGTTTCCAGAAGATAAACATATAAATATTTGGAGAAACAGCTTATAAGAAATTACTTTAAAACAGTGCAGTGAGCAATCAATAATCTCAGAAGCCATGAAATGTCAATTGACTATTGCTGGGGGGAAAGCAATCAAGTGGATGCAATCCTGAACATCAGCATGCCGTGCTACAACATTCACGCTATGACATAGTTTTTCAGGTCCCATTAAAGAGGTATAATAATCATAGTCTAGTATCTAGCATCTGCCCATGTATTTTATTTCTTCAGGGCATCGTAATACCATATAGGACACAAAAAGATGTGAGGTTATTTAATCTTTATAAATTAGAAAAGGTTTGTCATTTAAATAGGAATTAGAAACATAATGCTATATAAAATAGCAGCAATCCTTTCAAAAGTCTTTTAAATTGTATCAGCTAAATAGAATGTTTTCAGGAATTCAAGCTTTTCTGATAGAACACAGCAAATATGCCAGAGGAGAACTAATCGTTTGATGTATTTGAATACTGGTATCCAAACTATCCTGAAGAAAGTTGTTTATGTCAAGTACAGACTAGTTGAAACCGATAAGTCTATCTAAAAAGCGTAATTAGAAAGCCATGATAAGAAACATACTATTCAAACATCAAATTCAGAGAGACAAAAAACGATGGGTATAATTCTCTCTAATGCATTTACATTCAGAGTTTTCATCTCTGAATATTGTTTACATCACTTGAATGGCAGAAACAGAAAAGACGGAGTGAGAGCAGTGAAATAGAAGTAGTACTTAATAGTACTTAAAAGATGAATAAGAAATATTTCTCGAGTAAGACAAAAAAAAATCCAAATCAGACTGTGGCATGCAGTAATAAGCCTTGCTAATCTTAAATGACATTTCATAAGAGAGAAAAATGTGCTGTATTTTGGATTTCACAGTAACTTTGCCACTGTAGAAAGAGAAAGTGACTGAGCACATATGCAGCCTGCTACCAGCTTCCACATCTCCATCCCTCCTTTTCTGTACTCTTCATTCCGGAAGAAGAATCAGGCTTTCAGTAGTAAAAGGCACAGGAATAAAGCTTGTTAACATTTTCTTTAATGTATTTGTTTACCTCCCATGTTGTACATCCCCATTTCACGCAAATTCTCCCTTGCTTCCCTTTCTATTCCCCAAGGTACCAGACAGCCACCCTTTAGCTGTTCTTACCTGAAGTGGAATGAAGACTTTCAAGACTCCAGTATCTGGAAAGGACCCCTCGCATCCCACTGCTACCACCACACACCACTCCACTGCTCTCTGAATCTGAACCTGGAGAGAGGCCAGAGCTTCCACTGCTACTACAGTTGGCTCCACTGTCTGCACCAGCAGATTCGCAGCTGGAATACTGCTGGGTCCTCATGCAGGCAGGCAGATGGAGAGCCAGGAGGCTCTGCTGCTGAGAAGGAAAAGGGAGAGTCAGCTGCACCAGGCAGTTACGCACAGGGCAGTGGCCACCAGGTCCTGCTATCTAAGAGCTGTGTGGGATTCCTCTCCTCCGCGTTGCCAACTGCCTGCACGATACAACCTGACATCATAGGGGTCCACCAGGGAGGCTCCCTTGCTGACTGTTGAAAAAGCCTCAGCTCAAATTTGCAGAAGCAGGCTTATTTCTAAGCTGATTCCAAGGGATTAAACAAACCAAGGACAGGACAGAGAGAGCTTAAATTGCAGTAAGAAGGAGAGGATATAATAGAAAAGTTTGAAGCAGTTCCAAACGGCTTGGAGAGAGGAGAGAGTTGTTTCATGGCAGCTCCCTCATCAGCAGACAGCAGTTAAATAGAATGAAGGGAGCAGCATGCCTGTAAGTAAATATTAAGGGGACTAGCCTGCACTTCCCCATACGATCCTGGTTTGTATCTAGAATAAGCTAACCCTGAAGCAATGACACTGTCCTGCAAAGCTACCACAATTCGTCCTATAACAATGCATTTAGAGGTGATCAAATTCAGAGAGACAAAAAAACCAGCTCACCAGAACAATGTGATTATGGATGCAGGATAACCTCATTACTCCAATATATATTTCATATTGGAGATCTGAGGGGGGGATTAAAAAGTTTCCTCTACAAAGGATGTTTAAAACAAACAAACAAAGGGGCACATATTAATAGTTTGACAGCACAATGCAACAGGGAGATTCAGCGTTTCTTATGCTCTGTCTCTCCAGACTGCAAAGAAACACAGAAGAGACTCCAACAAACTTAGCATGTGTGGAGAGCTTCAGGTGTATCTGAAGAACATATTTAAGACTTGAGGAAAGATGCAAGAAAGATTTACTAAGGTTGGCAACATATTCATATGTTGGTGTCTGTTTCTTTAAGGCATCTGTATTTCAAGTAAAACTTTCCAGAGGAAAATATATCCCATACCTCAGCGCTAGGAAAAAGTTTAGCTTTTGAAGATTTCTTTCATGCAGTTTTTTTTAAAATTAAGAATGCTCTTATCAGAAAATAGTTGACAAAACCTTAGAATTCACTAATTGTAATTAATAATAATAATAATAATAATAATAATAATAATAATAATAATAATAATAATAATAATAATAATAATAATAATAATAATAATAATAATAATAATAGAGTTGGAAGGGACTTTTGAGGTCTTCTAGTTGAACCCCCTGCTCAGGCAGAAAACCCTATATTATTTCAGAAAAATGGCTGTCCAGTCTCTTCTTAAAAACTTCCAGTGTTGGAGCATTCACAGCTTCTGGAGACAGGTTGTTCCACTGATTAATTGTTCTAACTGTCAGGAAATTTCTCCTTAGTTCTAGGTTGCTTCTCTCTTTGGTTAGTTTCCATCCATTGCTTCTTGTCCTGCCTTCAGGTACTTTGGAGAATAGCTTGACTTCCTCTTCTTTGTGGCAACTCCTGAGATATTGGAACACTGCTATCATGTCACCCCGTGTCCTTCTCTTCCTTAAACTAGACATACCCAATTCCAGCAACCGTTCCTTATATGTTTTAGCCTCCAGTCCCCTTATCATCTTTGTTGCTCTTCTCTGTACTCTTTCTAGAGTCTCAATATCTTTTTTTCATTGAGGTGACCAAAACTGGATGCAGTATTCCAAGTGTGGCCTTACCAAGGCATTATAACAGTACAATAAATATAACAGAAAATAGGAGAGTAACATGCCACCTGTTTGAGTATCTATTTCACTCACAATACGAGGAAAAAAAATTAACATGCCACTCTGCCATTTTTCCAATGTTTTTCTAAAGCAACTGTGAAGTTGGTTTAAAAAAAATTTGGAACTAAGATATGTATACAAAAATTGTATTCCGTGATGAAGAAGGAATTCACCTTTTAAACATCAACATGCTTTGAGCAAGGAGTCCCTGCTAATATTTCTAAGAGCAGGGATCCACAGCTTCTCCTGTGGGGCCCTGATAGGGTTGGCACGTAGCTGTCAAACATCAAAAGATAGGAATGAAGAATGCATTGAGTGCAGGGAGGAGGACTAAATCCTTTAAAAAGCCACTTATTTCTCTTCAGCATCACACAGTTTATGTCCACTGGATGTCTTTTTTCTTTAATAATTCAGTACTACAGAACAAAATCCACCCAGATTAATAGTAATGATAAAAACAGCAGCAGATCAAACATAAAAGTTATCTTCAATATCCAACATGCTGCCTCTCTGAAGCTTTTTGCTTTATAGACGGCAATGGTATTTAGAAAACATTTTGAAAACTGCTCAGGAACAGTCTTGGGGTTGTTTTTTTCTGAAAGCATGTATATATTGCACTTTTTATCCCAAATGAGATTTTTGAGATAGCGAACAAAATCTGAAATGAAATGACAGAGAGATAAAAACAACCTCTCCATGGAGAAAAATAATGAACCGGCTCATCTTAAATCTCTCATGTTAATATTTCATTCTATATTGACATACAATAGCAGTGACATAACTAATAATATGAAATCTACAACTGTAGTAGAGCACATGCATATATGCACACATTCACATGCATGTGATGGGTTGGCCTCTCCAGCTCTTTAAACAAAGGTCCCTTTCCCCACAATTCCTATTATTGCAACCTCCCACATTCTAGTAGTTTGGGGAATGGGTTGCAGTCATTACTGTTATTCAGAGACAATTTTCCTCCAGGAAGGAAGGAAGGAAGGAAGGAAGGAAGGAAGGAAGGAAGGAAGGAAGGAAGGAAGGAAGGAAGGAAGGAAGGAAGGAAGGAAGGAAGGAAGGACTAAATTAGCACTGAAAGGATAATAGAGAAAGAAGAATAGGCATTCCTGTAAGTATCAAAGACTAGATGCATATACACCCAGCTAGACTAAAACAGCAGCAAAACACAAAGAATGGCTCAGATCAATCATTAATATAAATGTTTAAAAGTTCATCTGACAGAGAGGGGAAAACTTTCTGCTCCTGACTGGATGCTTTGTTTGAAACTTCCAGGTATTGCTGGACTCTGCCCAGTATCTAAAATGATTAACTCTTTCATATCCAAATCCCTGAGAATATTGTTCCCCTTTCACTATAACATTTGATAAGTATTTGGATAAGAATCAACCAAAAGGCTAGAAAAGTATGGGCAAATATCTGGAGAACTTGAGGGTTTGCATAATCTGTTCACCCTTGTAATTCAAACTTCTTTAACAGTGACCACATATATATACATGGGTTCAAGTGAAAAGAGTTAGCCAAGTTTATACCTGAGGCAAAATGCCTTCCCTCCCCATTCAACACACAGAAGTCAACAGTATGAATGTGGATTGCCATCCTGACTAAGGGCAACAGAGTGTCATAGTTGTATGCAGAGATCACCTGCTAAATACATTTCCTTTTCTCTCAGCATCTGCTTTCTCAATTGTAGTAGAATAATATGCTTGGATAATCCTAGAAACATTTTAGAGCAAACCTTTATGGTTCACCATTTTTCCATAATCCAAGACAAACAAAACAGAATAACATAAATAGTATATATTGCTATGCTCCAAATTGTAAAGCACATGTGTCTCAAAAGTTAAGATACAGTTTTTAAATTTATTTGTATTTATTTATTCAATTTCCATAGCCACCCATCTCAATCAATGACTCTAATTCAAAAATATACCACAATTAAAAAAACTAAATAACAAAAAAAACCACAATAAAAATCAAAATAAACATACATAGCCAAGATAATTGGCTAGTTAGCAATAAAGCCAGAAAGAGAGCCCTTGACAAATTCAGCATTCACATTCAGGAACACAGCCAGGTTTTTAGGGCCTTACTCACTGGTTGGATAGAAATGTGGAAAGAAGCTTTGACAAAAGTAGGCAAGTGGGATTATAGAGACATTAACAAAAAATAAAAGGCAACTCAGTCCTGGGAAAGGAAGGAGTGTGAGAAAGAGACTCAAAATAACCCTGTCTTGATTCTGCTTGGTATAAAAGGGACCAGAGGGAAACTCTAGCAGAGTCTCAACGTTCTGTTATTATACCCTACAACAATAAGTAGTATTCCTGCAATCCTTGTAGTGTCCATTTCCTGACCTGGTCCAGCTCAAAGATTTGACCCTCATGCACAAACAGATATAATTTTATTTTCAACTTGTTCTTCTCCCAAGGGCTATCATGGCTACTATTGTTCTTTTCATACCACCATTATTTTCATTTACTAAACCCTTGCAATTTATTTCAAGTTCATCTATGGTCAACCAAACCATTGATGAATTTTAAATGTGGAGGACAGCTGTGAAGAAATCAGTTCAATGTTTAGCTATCTATAGGATGGTGCAGAAATCACTTCCCTCCAGTACCCTATCTACAAATGCGATATTTAGTGTTTTTGGAACAATTTGAATGTTTGCACTAGGGGGTTGCAAAAGCACCAGGACCACTCTTTTGCTTAGGTTAAAACAGCTGAGAAATGTTAGAATGAAGCTTCCTATACAGAGAGAGGAAGGGAGCACAGGAAAGTACAAGAAGAGGGTGGGATTTCCTGCCAGTGGAAAAAAGAGCAGAGCTCTGGTGCTTCTCTTGGAAAACAGAATTAAGTGATTGTAGCTGAGGAAGAAGTCAGATCAGTGGAACTGCTGAAGAATGACAATGTTGTGTGATTATATAAGTACAATCCAGNTTTTTTTTTCATTATTGCCCAGTTGCCAGCATCTTGAGACAGTTCACGAGGGTTAAGACACAAAGATGCCTTGCTTTTTAAGGAATAGGGCCTCATAGCATTGCTTCCTTAACCCTGCTGCAGAAACAGTTTAAAGTTGATTTTAATTGTTCTATTTTTAAATTGGCATTTTTCTTTTGTTGTTACAAATCTTTTCAT